CACATAGAATTGCTGGCTCAACCTGCTGCAAACTTATTCTCACTCAATAGGAGAGTGCAAAGAACTCACCATCCCTGAAGCAATGTCTTTTGCAAAACTGACCCGCTGGCTCCAGGGATACTGACTGTCCTGGAAGAGAAACATTGCTGGTGAATGAGGTATCTGGAAAAGCTGGGGTGAAGACTGTCTGGGCAAAAAAAACCCGGGGCATCTCACTTCTATCAGGGTGTGGAGAGAGCAGTAGGGTTGAGATCTCCTCCCCACCCCTGGCCCTATTTAAACAAACCTTTAAAATTTAGCTCTATCAGAGCATCTGCAAGGAGGGGCAGAGGGGCAAATGATGACACAGGTAAGATTAGATGTGATGATACTATTGTGCAAAAGATGTGATTTACAAACATGCATCAGACACCATTCAATCATTAAATAAGCTCCATTTCAATGATGACATCATTATGTCCATAGCATCATACCGTAGTGGCTTGTTATGGGTGCCCCCGTGTGAACATTGTTATAAGGTAGTGGGTATTTTATATGTTAAGCTGCAATAATTTTGCAGAAGACTATGGAGGTGTTATATGGTAAACATCCTGTCTGGAAATCAGACTGGAAACAGTGAGGTTGGGAAGGTCACTAGGATCCAATAGTGATGGAGGAGTGGAGGATATGAAGGTGGACTGGAACATGAATCCAGATTGGCTGAACCCATTTCTTAATTTTGCAAAGACTGTGGGGTACAAAAACAGTTCTCAAAGATATGAATGGGTGGGGAATAGAGAGATGGTTTGGATGGCTAGGGAACTTCATTTGGGAATTTAAATGGGATTTGGAGAATCTGAAAAGTTGGGGAAACATCCAGATATACATGAACACATCCTTATATACAGTTTCACTGTGACTGCTTCAACTAGTGTCAGGTGCTATTTGAACAGACTGCCTCAATAGAGACAAAAAAAAAAGTCTGCCTCTCTGACCAATAACATCATCACATCATATTATTTCTCTGGGGTTATTCAGTTCAAAATGAAGCAATGGGAAAGTATTGTTGTGTGAGTGAGGACCAGGCCAAAGACAGAAAGCCTCACTTACAATATATATACTGGAAAGATCTCCCCCAGTTGAAAGCTGTTGGCATTTGTCAATCCCCATTTCTAATTTAATGTACTGTATAAACGCATGTGCATTATTGCAGCTTAACACATAAAATACCCACTACCTTATGACAATGTTCACACAGTGATGCCCATAAAAACCACCACAGCATGATGTCAAATCGATGCTATGGACATCATGATGTCATCACTGAAATGGAGTTTATTTTTGCAAACGCTCAAAATAACTTGCCTTTTTTCTGAATCAACCTGATTTGAGCTGGGAGGAGGAGAAAGTTGGAGGAGCTTAGATATCACTCCAGTGCACAAAAGCTGGGTTTGGACAAATGCTAGACTAAACTAAAGGACCATTGAGTAAATTGTGGTTCAGGATGGGAACGCAAGCACTGTCTTAACATGTAGTGCCAACTACGCCATGATGTTAAGTCATAATACAAGTTGCTTGGGCACAGCATGTTATATGAACACAGGAATTGCGTTTTATTAACCCTAGTTCACTGTGCTGTGTGAACCCAGCCAGACTGTCTATCCTGCTCTCTCTCCTCCCGCTCAGCATGCTTGATGTTCTCACATTAGATCTTATGTAAGTTCTATGCCCTCACCATGCTCTTAATGATCCCACGAAGTGTGCCTCCCTTGATGTACTCTGTGATGAAGTTCAGTCTCTTGTCTTTGTAGAGGACTCCAATGAACCTCAGCACGTTGGGATGTTCCAGGCAGCGCATTACCTTCACCTAAGGAACAAAACCACAAGACAGTTAATCTTGCATTTCTCAAGATCTCTTGGTGTGGACAGGAAACTACAGGGCATAAAGCCATCAGAAAAAGTTTGGCAGTTTTATAACTTATTGGCCACTGCCTGTTTGCCTATAAGCCCTGTAGCTTTGGGGACACCACAGAATGAACATTGTGGAAAATATTGTGGAGGAACAACTAATCATAGAATACTACAGTACTTCTCTGTATGAGACCTAAAGGAATCAGAAATCCTTGCTTACAGTTTCAGAATACCAGGGATCGCCATATGGATTAAAGAAGAGGGGCACAGATTTAAATTAGGCAACATCTGATATGGAGGAGTAAAGAGCAAAAACTTAAACTATACTAGTAGGAAATCAGCAGAAAGGGAAGTTCTATAGCAACTGGGCTAAGTTGGAGCAGACCAACCTCTTTAAGAAATGTTCTTTGGGTCTCCTCATCAAAACGGATAAGTTCCTTCATGACCATCACTTCTCCAGTCTCCCGGTGTGTCACCTGGTGAAGGAAGCAGATGGTGTTTAGGACATCAATGAGGATAAAACATTTAGAATCATACAGTTACAAGGGATCTTAGAGGCCACTGTAATGGGCTGTGAAAATAACCTTCAGAGACAAGAGGAAGAGCTGCAGGGGTCTGATAAACAAAATACGAGTCCAAAGCAGGAAGGTAATTTGAGTAAGTGTCACAGAATTGACCCTCCCTAGTTCTCTTTAGGATAAAGGCAACGAGGGGAGTCACACTGAGAGTTACCTTAGAAGTGTCTAGTATTTAGTATCCCCTAGAATATGTGTGGGCATGGACCAATTTTTTCAATTTCAATTTTCTAGGGTAAGCTAAACAATGCAATTATTTTCATGTATCTGCTAGTCCAACCTCCTCCTCAGATTTTTAGAGCCTTGAGCCACTGAGCTCATTATACATTATAGAAAGTCCTATACATTATAGAAAGTCCATCAACAAGCTGGTTAGATCAAGCAATAATCTAGATCCAGGGAAAGGGCATAAGATATCATGCCTGTACCTTAATGGCCTGCCCAAAACAGCCCTTGCCCAACACCTCGCCATGAATGAGATCTGAGGGGCGGAAGATACGATGAGGACGGGAGACAACACGCAGCGATTCCGAGCGACCAATGTCTTTCCTCTGGGAGGAGGGGGAGCCCAGAGAACTGGAACAAGGCGACTTATCAATGCTGCAGCTCCTCCTGTGCAGAAGAAGAAGAAACACTCTTCTCAAGTATACATCAGGCATGCCTTTCTCACAAAAGAACAACTTCCAGATGCCACAGATCTCTTTCTCTAGGTTCAGAGGGAAACTGGGGGGCTTTCATCATGAACTGCTTCCCATTTGCCCTTAATTCCAGCTTAATTAGGAGAACACAGCTTGCAATTTATCCTCACCTTCTGTGGATCTGGACACTACAAAATGGCCATTTTCATATGAGTAGAATCTGCACCTGTCTTAAATCAGGGCTGGGCAACCTGAGTTATTATTGATGTTCTGCTGCTCAGTGACTCCCTATGAGGCACATACCTCCTGGGCTCACATGCTCCCCCTTTTCTTCCAGCATGGCATCAGACTTATCTGTCTTAGAGAAACCACGGTTTGCTGCAGTGTCCAAACCATAACCAACTGGTTATCATCAAGACAAACTGCTTACCACCAATAGTTCCTAGAAACAAGCCAGCTGACTTCTTTCCAATTAGAATTAAATTTAGATCAATTTATGTAATTTATTTAAAATTATTTAATCATAAACACTTTTACTGAAAGTGTTTAACAGAAGCTGGAGGGAGTCTCCTGGACCCAAAGATCAATTGGGAGGGACAGAAAGGGCAGGCTGAGACAGAGTGGCAATGCTTCTCTGCCAGGCATGGGGCAGCGTTATAGAGTATGTTGCAATTAAAAAAAAAGAAATTGCAACTTTGAAAAAACCCCAGTCTTTTGATATTTACAAATGTTCCTCTCCCTGCCTTAAGGAAAGCACTGATTACAACTGCACCCCACCCCACACAATAGCCACATTTGATGAACCTACAGAACTGCTGAGAGCTGTTGACCTCTGCTAGAGTATAGCTAATTCACAAATTTAAACTGTCTTTACTCTATATTGTCCCATGCACAGAATCTTAGAAAATGCAAGCATACGAAGGAGCCTACAAGGAGGAATCTGATGTACTTTGGAAAAAGACATTTCCTAGGGTGTGTTGGTCACCAACAGATGGAACTGTAAATTATTAAGCAGAGAGAGGCAGTGTTTGAATAATACACTTACCCAGTTCTCTTAGCAGCTGTATCACAAATATGCTAAACTTGGTTAGCGTTAATTTTAGTTCCCATTTAGCCCATTTAGTTCCTTTACACTCTAGTGCAGTGTTTCTCAACTTTGGCAACTTTATGATGTGTGGACTTCAACTCTCAGAATTCCCCAGCCAGCATCCTGAGAATTGAAGTCCACACATCTTAAAGTTGCTGAGGTTGAGAAACACTGCTTTGGTGTATTGTACTAACCCAGGAAATAAGTTAATTCAGTAAGTACATAAAGGGCGATGTGGGAATGAAGCCAGCATGAGACTGGAAAAGTAGAAATGGAAGTTGGCCAAGAAGGCACCATCTTCAGGTTTACCGGGGATTCTGCTCAAAGTGGCTCCTTTTCCTGCCTGCCCCTGCATGTAGAATCGCAGGGCAGCCTTCCCAGTCTGTTGCCTTACCTGACTCGGAATTTTGTAAGTCCTGTAAGTCCTGTCCTGACACAAACTTCAGGGCACTAGACTAGGGAACAAAGCACTAACGGTTTCCTAGTTGTTTTTCTCTAGCATGAAAGGAAAGGCTCTTGTCTGGAGGAGGGGGAATCTACTTCACAGAGCCATCTTCTACTCGATCCTTACATGACAGAGCGTTGGCGAATGGCTGAAGGGTCTGGGCATGGTGTATGGTTGGGTGAATGGAGGGGACTGCGCAGCTCTGAGAGGGGGCTGCTTTCAATCATCTCATGAGGGTCATGTTCGATGGTGAGCTGCAGCAGGCGGCTGGTCTCTTGGATCAGAAGATCGATCTGTAGAGACAGAGAAGGCAGGCTGAGAAGAGCAGCAATACGTCCTGACAGGCATGGGGCCACATTATGGAAACAAAAATGAGAAAAGGATGATTGATTCAGTACTGAAAAAAAAAGATCACCTCATCTAGAGGGACATGACGGATTGGTGTGCCATTGATTTCCAGGATGCGGTCACCAACATGGATGGAGTTCTTCATATCAGGGCTTATGCAGTCTGGGTTTAATCTAGGGATAGAAAATGAGGCAGCAAAGGCAGACTGAGGTTACTCTGTCCTGGCACATACCTCCCAAACTAAACCTCAGGAGAGTGATACGTATGCTAGAGCTTCCACTGAAAACTAGAGAAGAGGAATCAAAATACTTGGATTCCATCACCCTCCTCTCACGATCAATCAACATGATGTAGACCCACATTCTTCAGCCAGGTGTCCTCCAGATGTGTTGGGACTGCAACTCCTAAGCATCCAGTTTCGGACTTCTAGGTATTGCAGTCAATACATCTGGAAAAGGATTTGTGAAATGGATAGAACTTATTAAACAGTTCCATCTCCAGAATAAAAACAGGTTTTTACTTTGTCAGTTGCCCTTCTCTTGTGAATTCAACACTCATATTCTCATGATATTCTGCAGATACTTCAATTATATTACCAAATATTCCCTGAAAATAATATGCAGTTATTTGATTCCAACAGTAGCAGACTGACTGTGTCTGACAAGTAATTATTGAGTGATTTCTTATTTTGTAGTTATTTGCCATGTAACACTCTTGAGAATTCCATGATATTGGATAGACAGCTTGCAAATGCATGACTTGTATTATAGACCTGATTGGTAACATCCAATGGTAATCGGTATTTGAAATCTGACAGCTTAGGACAATTCTTATTTAAAGCCTATCTGAACCAAAAATATGCTAATAAGACTAGGTGGAGGTAAAAAAGAAATGCCCATCAAATTTCAGACACATAATGTTAAAAAATCTACATTTGTAATGAGAAGCTTGGATGAATGCCAAACAGTTGTAAACATTCTCTTTCATTCAGAAGACCCCAGAAGCCTGATGTGGGAGGCAACTTCACCTGTTCTACAACTTCTGAAGGACAAAATTTCCTAATGGCTGGCAGTCTGTACTCACTCGCGAACGCGCACAGTATGTGGGTGCTCAGAACCTCCATGCTTGTCAATGGAGACGGAGAAACCCCGCTTGCCTTCGGAACATGCTGGGATAGACACCAGGGTGACAGTGTGTGGAATCCGGGTGCCAGGAGATTCTGGAAGCAGCTGATCCATCACAGGTGTCACCACCATCTGGTAATAACAGTGCCCACTGCAACATGGAAGAAGAGGCACCACAAGCTAGGACATTCATTCCCAAACCTCACGATGAGAGAGCCCAAGGGTGCCACCAGAAACTGACTGAAGAATGCTTTAAAAGCCTCCTGAGGTGAGAAGCGCCAATATGTCTCCTCTGAAGGAGGTAACTCCAGTAAAAAAGAGAAAGAAAAAGAAAAGAACAAGAATAATTATTCTTCTCTTTTTCTTTTCTTTTCTTCTGTACACCTTTTATTCTCTTTTTTCTTTACTTTCTCTTCTTTCTGAGTTTAGTTTGTATTTTCTTTTACTACTACTACTACTACTATTATTATTATTATTATTATTATTAACACTTTCAATAAAAATGATTAAACTGAAGGAGGAAACTCCATTGGAAATAAGTCAGCACCCCCACTCTAAAGATGTAGTAGACTGACTTTTCTGGACATGCAAAATAAACTTCTGCTGCAGTGTAAAAGAGGTAAATATTTATTATAGTTCAGGAAAAAAATAGTGTGCTTCAAGCAATGAACATTTCTGGAGGGCTAGAGATGGAGTATTAAATGCAGTCTGCCGTGTACAGTGGAGACGCTTATCTCCACTGAGAAGGCCTATCGAGGGCATTCTCCGAATGGACAGGTAACGGGTCTTTGCTGTGGCTTTCACTTGCCACTTTTTTTTTGCACTAAAAATGTTGCTGACTGTTTTATCATGCAAAGCAGGAAAAAGATAAACTCTCACTCAGCCCTTTGTAACTTCTCTTGCTCTACCTAACCCTCCTGTAGTGGTGGGACCAACCATTCTCAAGGCAGGAACAAAAAGATACACCCTCCCCATATTGTGTCTGATGCCTACAGCCTAACAAACCTCCCGTCCCATCAATGGGATGCAATTCATAAGCAGCTGACTAGGCAATAATGAACAAAAACTCAGTTTTATTTTACAGGGGAAAGGGGGGAGTATAGCAAAAGGAAGTTAGATGAATTCTTTAAAAGTAAGTTTCTGAATTTAAAAAAAATGGGATGCAATAAATAGGTGATGCACAACAATAGTTGCCTGTATAGTTCTAGGTTTGTACTGGGCCTGTTTCATTTTCTTGGAACAGGACTGGAAGGTGCAGTGGAAAGTCAAAAGCCCCCTGCTACTGTTGCTCTGCTTTTCATCTTCAGCCCTCCTTTTTATAACTGCTTTTCCTTGTCTCCATCTCTCCAGCACCACCAGTCTCCTGTCCCCACAGCAGCTCCATGGGGTCAAGATGAGGCTTGAGTTCTAGGCATTCAACAAAAGGCCCCACTGTTTGATTATAATCAAGTTATCTGCAAATAAAGGCATAGGAGGTAAACCCAGCACTCCTGGGAAGGGACAGGGGCCTAAGTTTGATCTATATAAGCAAATAAGTTTAAAATCAAAATAAGTTTATAAAATCAAAATATTAAGTTTTAAAATCAAACAAGTTTGATAAAATCAAATAAGTTTGATTTGAGAGCCAGTTTGGTCTAGTGGTTAAGGCACCAGGCTAGAAACCAGGAGACTGTGAGTTCTAGGCTTTGCTTCAGAGGTCTAGTGGTTAAGGCACCAGGCTAGAAACCAGGAGACTGTGAGTTCTAGGCTTTGCTTCAGAGGTCTAGTGGTTAAGGCACCAGGCTAGAAACCAGGAGACTGTGAGTTCTAGGCTTTGCTTCAGAGAGTGATGGTAAGAAGACCAAACCCAAAACACAGTGTAGCTGATGGCAGGTTCTGGCTACAATTCTTGGCATAAGTTTATGATCTCTTTCATAGCCTTTTTCCAGGGTGCCTCTTGCTAAGATCAGGTCTGGTCCTCTGCCACATATCTAAATGATCCATACAGGCTTTCGGACCAATATATAGTTACGGTATCACAGGAATCTCAGTTGGTTCCACACAGCAGACTCACTGAGAAATCTTTAGCACTGTGTTCCTAGTGAAGGTTACGTAATATAAGAGATACAATATAGGGATAGGATGTTGGGCGTGGACTGGGTTTTTCCAAGTTCAACTTCCCATTTGACCAGGGAGCAAACTGAGGCTAATCACTCTCTCTCTCAATCCAAGCTAACTTACAGGGCTGTCATTGTGGGCTTAAAATTAGGGAAAATCCCTATGACTCAATTCAGCCAAACTCCCACTCACCAGTAAAGCTTGGATCGTTCCACCAGCGCGTAGGTATCTCCATCACCGATGAACACCTGGCAGTTCAGGCAGCTGAAGCACTCAGGGTGGTATTTTTGCTCCCCGGCCACCTGGAATAGGGATGGATAGACATGAGCTTTCATCACTCTTCCAGTACTTACTTCTCAACCACCATTTTTGTGGTGATTCTTCCCACTGTCCCAGCAGTATCACAGAGCTCCTGTTCAAAAGAAGAATTGAAAGAGACGAAAGATTATTCAGTTTGAGTCCTGAAACTAATCATACGCAGGCTCAGACACTGAAGGTCTGGGAGGACGCTCAGGCCTCTTCACACTGCCAGAGAATGAGATTTGACCACACTCTAGAGAGGAAAGCATCACATCTCAAGGAAAGACATACAGATGGGAGGCCAGGGTCATGCAAGGGTAGAACAGGCAGAAGAGAAGAGGCAGACTGACAATCATCCCTGACTCAGATAAGTATTTAGGTAATCCATTAATTAGCAAAACATTGAGTTTGCACAACAGATTTAATTTGGTTGCTGAATTAATCCATTTTCTGAGTTCACACAGCACACTGAATTATTTATTAACTATTTTTATATACCACAGACTCCTAGAGACTCCTGGTGGTTTATAGAATAAAAAGATAAAACATCAGATAAAATCAGCCCTGCCCCACCAGAACCCCAGCATTTCTCAACTATTAAAGCAGTGTTTCTCAACCTGGGCAACTTGAAGACGTGTGGACTTCAACCCCCAGAATTCCCCAGCCAGCATGGCTGACTGGGGAATTCTGGGAGTTGAAATCCACACGTCTTTAAGTTACCAAGGTTGAGAAACACTGATTTAAAGTGTTCAGTCTTCTGGAAAATGGCCAGGGAAAGTGCCAAACGAACCTCAGGAGGAAAAGTATTCTGAAGCATATACAGAGCAGCAGTGAGTTCTTGCTCCTCCCCTCTCCCCTTGTTCCTTATTTGGGGGTGGGACTCTTAACAGCCCTCTTTTGGCTGAATAAATTGGAGGAGTCAGTTCTATTTGGTGTATCTGGGCCTTCAGTACCAGGCCATGAAGGTGTTATAAGTTACAATCACCAGTTAAGATTGTGCTTGGAAGCCAATGCAGAGCTCACAGCACCAGTGTTATTTGTGGCTTTCACCCCTCAGCAGGCAACTGCATTTTGAACCAACTTCAGTTTCTGGATAGTCTTTAAAGGCACCACCTTGTAAAGCAAATTACAGAAGTTAATATGAAAGATGATGAGGGCATTGGTAACTGCTGCCGGGGTATCATGCTTCAGAAAGGGCTGCAACTTCTTCTACCTATCTGGCAATAGCAGTGAGCCTAGGAAATCCCCCAAGTTATGGATCTATTCCTTGAGGAAGTGTGCTTCCGTCTCCAGAATTATTGCTGGAGAAGGTAAAGGGTTAGTTGGTTTCTGGACAAACAGCACCTCTGTCTTGCAGGAAAAGTCTGAGCTTGTTTATACCCATCCAAATCCTAATAGCTTCTAGGCCCTGGGTTAGAACTTCCACCAGATCCCAGGCTCAGCCTGAGGTAGCAATGTATAATTGGGTATCTTCAACATACTGAGGATACCATACCTCAAACCAAGAGATGATCTTACCTAAAAGCTTTATACAGAGGATAAATAATGGAAGGAAAGGGATAAATCCTGCAACACCCACAAGTAAGCCATCTCCTGGACAATCTCTTTTCTCCTATTAACACCAACTGGTACTGCCCACTCGGAACCACTACAAAACAGTGCCTAACTCCCAACTTTCACAGGCAATCCAGGAACATACAGTGGCCACTGAGAGATCTGAAAGGACTAGAAGGAATGTAGTCCTCATATCCAGGTCCTGCTATAGGTCATCCACTAGGACAACCAATGCCTTTTCCATTGCAGGTCAAGGTCTGAATCTTGATTGGAAAGGGTCCAGATAATTCCCTTTAGTTCCCTCCACAACGGTCTATATCTGGACTCCCACCACACTTTCAACAACTCTTCCTAGAAAAGGAAGGCTGGAGACTGGCAAGTAGTGATCAAAATCCAAGGGTGGCCTCTTCAGGAAGGTGTGCACTATAAACACATCAAATGGGCTGGGTTTGCATAACATGCTGAGCCACAAAAACCTAACCAAACCACAACTTTGCCTGGCATGCTTAAAATCTTATATAAATGCAGCCAATTTAATAATAGAAATCTATCTTAGCCAAAAAAAGCAAAGGGTCTGCAAGCCCTAGTAAAAGTAAGGAACACAGTGAAAAAATGGGACTGAGATTAAATATAAAGAAGGCCAAACTAATGATAACAGGTACAACAGCTACCAGTCTTAGAACTGACAATGAAGATTATATATGATCACAGCTGCAAGACTGTTATATGCACGAAGATGGAAAGACTCACAAATACCTACAGTAGAAGAGTGGACTATTAAATTAATGGATTTGGCTCAAATGGTGAAGCTAACAGCCTTAATAAGAAATAATACTGTTTCTAAATTTGTCTCCTCATGGCAACCCTTCCTAGATTATGTGCTTGGGCTGGGAAAAAATGAAGCTTTGATTGTGGGATTTAATGATTAGATGGTTTGTGTTGATATAATGTGAATTAGGATTAAATAGTGGTAAGAGATTAACTTTTTAAAAATTTGTACTTATATCTGTATCGGAGATAGTCGGAAGTCACTTTTTGTTTCATCTTTCTATTTGATCTCACTCTTTTAGTTTT